TAATAATAATAATAGTCAAGTGTTTTCTCTCCCCTGCATGACTTTGGTTACACAATGAGGCTTCGTTCAAAACAACGCGCCGGAGGCAACAAATAAAATCCCCTTTCTCCTCAAAATCTGCTTATAAAACCACAATATATTTATAGAAACGCCCATGTTGTGTGATCCCTGGTTGCATTAGCAGTTTTCTCACAAGCACTGATTGGTTCAGTTTCACGCCCCAGGCTACAGACGGGACAGGGACTCAGTGCGCATCGCGACGCGCTGACCGCCGGGATCCATCCGGGATAGCGCAGTGGCAATTCATCAAAAACACACACACAGCTGTCACACCTGCCCTCCTCCACGTCTCCTTTCAGGTGCAACGAATCGGTTAAAAGGGGCACAAAGCTCCCACTCACCTAACTTTTGCTGCCACKGAAGAAATCGCATCGTTCCTTAAATTCTTCCTCTTGGAGACGGTGGTTCCCATGCTGACATGGAAACGACGCAGACAGGAAAACTGTTCATTCCAGTAATAATTTTAAAAAATCAAATTAGGAGGGATGAAGGAATGCGACGAGGGGTGGGGGGACAAACCCTGAGAAGGAAAAAAAAAAAGAAAGAAAAAAGTTAGAGGGAAATCCTTGAGCTGATGCGTCTGCAGAGCAAAAAAGACGGACGTTTGCTTCTCTRCTCTCCTCCTCTGCTCTTTCTGTCTCTCCGGGTTTGAGCACGTACGAGGGGTAGCTCAACAGCTGTGGCTGAAACACACAGAGACACACACACACACACTCACTCACCTCCCTCTCTTTCATTGATCTAAAAATCCAGTCAGAGAGGACTGGKGGTTTGGTCAAATCAGCATCCTTCAGACACAGAGAGGACATGAAAGGCCAATGGGATCACTGGTGCCATTCATAWCATCGATTTTTGAACAACTGTATCAGTTTCTGCATATAAATATTTATATTGGTGTTACATAATGTGTCATTTTGGTAAAAAGCTCCACACATCTCTCTGTCTCACACACTCACAGACTGAAATGGACTCCTAACAGCCAAAGACTGAGGACAGAGCTTTTTGAATGTTCCCAGGAGCTGCAGGTTCTGCTGCTGGTTTTATTTCCAGCCCAAATATCCTCTGRGTGGTGCATTAAGGAGCTGCAGGATAAAAGAGATAAAGGACGTTAGGTGTAGAGCACTGATGAGACCTGATATGCAAATGGTCTTTTTTCTCATTTTGATGGGCACTGAACCCATCATCATTATCACATCTGATTTTTTTTATTGTTGTTATTATTCAAATCAGTTCAGATTACACTTCCTCCTTCAAATGATGTGAAACATCTCATTTTCTGATTTGGTCATTTTTCTTTAAAGCGTCATTTTTATATTGTRGTGAGAACCTTTCATTTTGTCAGGACAGGAAAAAACATCACAGTCCYCACAATCTGAGGAGGGGAAAAATTACACCTTTCATGTTTTTGTACTCATTTTTATATAACTGCATGATAAACATTTACGTTCTGCACCTTTCCTCCAGAACACTGGATGTAAAATAACAGGTCATCAAAGTGWTTAAGGGATTTTACATCTTAGAACTAAATGGATAAAAAATATCTTTGTGATCTTAAGGATTAAACCCAACATACACAGTTTTACAGGTATAAAATGAAACATTTGTGATTAAACAACAAAATGAGATTTAAACAATGCAAAGAACATTTGTTAACTCTTTGCAACGTTTGTAAAAAAAAAAAAAACATGCAGAGGATCAGTTGTGGCCTAAATTTGAGATTTTAAAATGTTTAAAAGCWAAATTTTAGATCCTTGAAAAAGGAGTTAAATGGAATGCCATGAACAATTAGTATCTTACCTGTTGTAGATAGCTCTTTATTCAACTTCAGTTTGGAGACATATAATTTGATTGAGTTTACAAAGATTGACAACACTTGTCCCCATCTTAGGATGATCATTTGTGTTAAAAGTATCGACATACATAACACACTTGAGTCTAGAAGTCATTATAGTTCAGTCCTGAACAGTAACGATTGTTATCTGTGGCTAGAGGTACTTCTGACCAAAATGACAAGCTAACAGTTATAAGTGCTGCTGCTGTCTTTAAACAACTCAACAAAAAGTYAGGAGATTTGTGTTTGGTATTATTTCTTTGTTACAACGCCTCGGCAGCACTTGGAGGTACCAGAAGCTCAAAACACGTGTCAACAGCAAAATAAGCTGTTTGACAGAGAAGATTTGGCAATTTTTTTCTTCATTTGTGCAACCCACATACTCAGCTCTAATGCTCATCTCACAAATGCATGTTCCTTTTAAATGTGGCACAGTTTAAAAGGAAATTATCAAGCCTTCAGTAGTCTTAAATGTATTCTATAGAAGCATAAAGAAATAATCCCAAACACACATTTCCTTACTTTTTGTGCTACGTTTGTATTTTAGCAGCTGTGGGCTAGCAGTGCAGCCTGGGACATTTTCAGCATGAATATCTTAATATTTCTGCTTGGATGACCATGTGATGTGAAATTGCTGAAAGTGTGAAGAACTTTAAAAGTGGTGACTGCTTTCAGATTACCTTGGTTTGGCCCTCTTTGACCATGTATTAGTCCAACCTCCAACCTTAGCTGGTTAGAAAAGCTATCTGCAACAGGGAAGATATTTACTGTGCATAATCTTTCAATAGAAACCCACAAGAGAAGAATGACTGATTAAAGATAAATGCACGACGCAATTAAACAGTAAACTCTGGTCGTTTTTAGTATGGTGTTGCAAATAGTGTAAAAGAAACAATCTACGATTTGCAACATTTCAAGGCAGAAAAAAAATCAGTTGTAAAAATTGAATTGCAGCATGAGAAGACTTTAATCTTATTTCCATATAATACAGTTGACAGTGTTAGTTTACAAGAGTCAGGCTGCAACTAATTCTTGATTTAATAAATACAGTTTTTAGCTAAAAACCTCCACCGGTGGTGCAGAAAATSTGTTAACTCACAGAGTTCAAAGACGTTTAATCTCTGCTGCCTGTGACAGACGACGTTAATCATTATGGTGTGCACACACTCACATACAAACACACACATTCACATATGGTCACATGCGTTTGTCATGCCAACAGATGGAAGCACAGGCAGCAGTCAAATCACCCATTAGCCTTCAAACATCAAATCAATTGAGTCTGCAGGTTGTTTCAGCAGCTCCAGATATCTGCAGGGCGTTCTTGTTTTTTTTTTTCTTATCTTTATAATGTGTCCTTGTCCTGCACGCACACACACACACACACACACACACATTTGTACGCACAAAGACAAAAGGAATGGAAATCAATAAATAAAGCAAAGCACCGCTGGGCTGGTGTGAGCTGCTCTAGGCCATTAAGCAGTAAATAATTCCAGGCAGCTCTGACGAGACCGAGGAAGCGTGTGCAGGTGGACTGTAGATGAGCTCAACAGTAGAAGGTATGAATCAACGAGAAGACAGAGCGAGGACTTCCTCGTAGAAACCCGAGCAACAGACGAGGGCAGCAGGAAGAAAAAAAAAAAACGAGGGAGGCTCTTCTAGAAACAGGAACATGATGCATCTTAGACTCAACAGCAGGAG